ACCCCCACCCTGCGCCCTCCGCAACCACCCCGCTCAACCGGCCCCTCCCCAAACCTCGACCCCGGACCCTCTCACTCTCCTCTCCCCCCCCAGAACGCGCGCGACGAGGACAATGAGATGGCCACAGACAACGCCATCAGCGCCCTGGGCGCCCTGCTGCAGCACCACTCGGACGTCCTGGACGGCGGCGCCGTCGCGGCCGCCTGGGTGGCGGCGCTGCCCATCAAGGGGGACGCGGTCGAGGGCGTCAGGGCGCACGCGCAGCTGGTGGCCATGATGGAGGTGGGCGAGGGGGCGCCGCGTCTGTTGGAACGGCGCGTTCCCGGGGATTGGGGTGTTGCTGGTGATTGTTTTCACGTGGCGTGCTTTTAGTGTGCGCTTCGCTTTTGCTGTGCTGTGCATTCGTATGCCTTGGGTCGAGTGTGCTGCGCGCTTGCAATCTACTCTAGGGTTTTGACAGTGGTCTTGCGCAAGGCAGCACGTGGGGGCGAGCGCCAGCAAGGGCTGCAATGTTCTTGGTTGCGGATGCGGATGTGCACGAACCGCGTGGCGTGGCGCGCCCGGTGACGAGACCTATGCTAACCGACGTCCTTCGGGGCCGTGGGGCCATTCTTTTCCGCTTAATGCCTGAGGGCGGCTCTCTCCCATGCCCACGCACGCGTGCCCACCCGCATCCATCGACCCTCTTGTTGCACCGCCAACAGCGACGCGACAGCCCGCACCCTTCATAACGCCCCACCCCCACCCGCGTGCCATCACAAGCCCGTCTCCTGCCCCTACCCCCACCCACCCACACAGGCCCAGGACGTGCGTGTGCTGGGCGCCGGCGGCAAGCACATCCCCCACCTCATAGGCGTCCTCACCCAGGTCCTGGGCCGCGGCTCAGATCTGGCAGATGGGCAGACGGCGCCCCGGGCGGTCAAGATCCTCCAGGCGCTGCAGGCGGACCCGGTCTATGCGCCCGCGGTGGCCGGCGCGTTCGCCGCGCTGAGCGACAAGCACAAAGCCAACTTCACCGCGCACATGGAGGGGCGCGCGGCGTGAGGCGGGCCGCATGGGCGCGAATTCGGCGTGTTGAGGGGAGGGGCGGGCAGGGATTGGGGGCCGTGGGCTGGGCGCCGCGCTGGCCAGGGCCTGCGGTCTTTTGATGATGGCATTTGCTCGAAAGCGGCGGGGAGGCAACCGCCGCCGCAACAAAAGCTGCCGGGAGGGAGCGGTCGACAGCCCAACAACAGCAGCTGCATGGGTGGCCCGGGGACGGCCCAGAGAGTAGACCTTGAACATTTAGTTTTGCATTCCGCGCGCACCGGGCATCAGGTCAGCTTGATGGTGTCTGCACGCATGGGCACCATGTGTGCCTGTTCTCTGGCGCGCCCCAGCGCCTGACCGTTGCAGGCCTGGTGGTCTGCCTGTGGGGCACTTTGTGAGAGGCCCCGGGGGTGCGGCACCCCTCTCTCCACCCCCCAATCAATCGGGCACGGCAGGGCGCTTTCAAATCCGGGGTCGCAGCGCGTGCGCGCACCCCCGCGACAGTCGTGATCCTGGCAGGTGGTGTCGTGGTGTGCGTGCGTGTGCGTGCACATACATGTGATTGCGTGTGTGTATATTCGCTCCTTGTCGCTGTTTGCGTGTCTTAGTGTCTTTCCCACACGTGTAGTGTTCCTCTGTCGTTCGCTTTTCTCTCTTCGCGCGCACAACTGAGCATGTGCATGTTGGGCTCCCACCGGTCGCACCTCTGTGCACGCCTGGCGCAGCAGTTCACGTGCGTACGATTCTCTTGGTGCCGCGTGCCTCAGGCTCTCCTTCCCAGCCCCGCATACAGCCGTACGCCGGCCACACAAAGCTGCCGCTCATCGCGGCAGGGCCCTGCGGCGGCATCCCGACGCGCTGTGCGTGTGCTGCACCAACATTGCGGCCGCGATCCCTTGCGGCGGCCATTTGCCGTGGTGGCCGCTGCGCGCTGCTCTTTGCTCTTTCTCCTGCGCACCCCGCTGGTGCAGTGCCTGAAGGCTGGGACGGAGGGCGCCGGTCCCTTTTGTGCGCATGCCAGGCGTCTCTGCTGTGGAGCACCCCTGTAACGGGGGTGGGGTTCGCTGTGCGTGTGCCCCTGTCCCTGTCGGTGCGGTCACCCAAACTGCAGCACATGTGTGACTCCTCGTCAATCCGCCAGCGTAAGTGACAGCATGCAGGGGCATCTCCAATCAAACCATAATCTGGGGTTGAGCAAGCAAGAACAACTTTAGACATAATCGGCACCTGTAATGTGCACACAATGCAACACGGCGCCTCGAGCGGATTCTCAAGTGCACGCGCACCCCTGCATAAGTGGCCAAAGATCGTCCATCACATGAGCAGCCGCCTGTTTCTATCCTTGAACGTCGCGTCGCTGTGCGGCTCGGGCCCTGTACCGCTGTATTCATCAGTACCGACGACCCTAGCAGTGCAATTGGCAGGCGTGTGGCGCCGCCCTCGATTCGGGTCGGGGTAGAGTGAGGGAGGGCACACGCTGCAAGGGAGTGCAGGCCAGCACTCACGCGGCGACATGACAAAACCACGCGATCCAAGTCAAGCACTGCGTGGGGTATGACGGTGGATAACTTTCAGTCAATGGTAGATGATTGGAGGTGTGACTCACCCCACACTCCCGCTCGTTCCTCTGTCTTTTTGCCTCTCTCTCTTATTAACAACATATAAACCCCTAAGGGGTCACCCCAAACTACCGAGCCCCCCTGCCGCACGATATCCCTCCCAAAAACCCACAAGGCGATGGTGATCGACTTCATCAACGTGCCTCACTGTTCAATTACATGATTGTCAATTGTTTGACTAATTTATCAAATCACTGTCAGCGGCCATCAGAAGGAGAAGAATGCAGCCTGGAGAAGCCATCATACATGCATGTCCCGCTCCTGCCCGCACGGGCAGCCATGCATGACTGATCCAGCGTGCTAATCCCTTTTGCCGTGCATGCTTTGTCGAAGTCAAAGACGAGGCATTATGGCACATAACCTCTCTTCTCGAGGCGTAAATGAAGGGGCACCCACTGCGTGCGCCCCGCGCCAGCAAGGACTCCACTGCCCCAGCGCCTCGCGCCACAGGCTGATGATGCAGCCGTGCAGCTGCTGCGCGCCCCGCTGTGCATGCACGGGGGCAAGATGAGGCACATGCATCCCCCTCCATGCATGCATGGGGTTTACGTGGGAGGAGCACATTCAGGTGGTGCGTGCTGAAAGCAACAGGGGAAAGCAAGATGAGGGTTGTACAACAAATGCGTCGACCAGGCCAGCGATAGGCGCACGGCGATGAAGACACATCACACAAGCAGCAGTGCGTGACGAGGTCGCTGGGAGGTCGTGCCCCGCCGCTGGCTGTGCCCACCCTCACGCAGTCAACGGCAAGTGGCTTCGCCGCTCTGCGTCAATCAACCATGGCTCTCAACCTGCCACCCGGAGGGCGGCAAGTCTGCCCGTGTATAATACAAGTCCCGCTTCATGCATGCTACCCAGACCACCCTGATGAACAACAGATGTATGGACACAAGCCATAAGGCGTGATGCTTTGATGGTTGGGCATATGTAGCGCCTGGGCGGCAGCAGCCAGAGCTTGGGTACAGCATGCGAGGGGCCATCATGCACGGCAGCATGCACCTGCCGTGGTGGGCCGTCAAACGCGGGGCCCCTTGCTGTACACGCCTTGTGATACAGCAGGCATCAATCATACATTCGGTGTTTAACAAGGCCGGCGGATTGCTGGCAGATGCCGGCAAATAGTGCATGCCGCCGGCAAATCACGGCAGCAGGGCGTGCGGCACAACAAATGTCTGCGCAAGTGCGTGCGCCATGCGCATGCCTGGCACGATCGCTCTTGCTGCGCCACACGGCGCGTCCATTGCCATCATCATTATCAAAGGTGATCTTACGTGCTCAAGACACCGCCCTGCTCCCCTGCGCCGTTGCCGCCCACACTGCGGCCCCCAGCAACCTCGGCCCTTGCCCAGGGGAAACAACATCAGCTGAATCCCAGCAGCCACAGGCCGGCGCGCCGGCACGCGCTCAGTGTGCTGGCGGCGCGTACGCCGCCCCGCGGTGCGCCGAGTCATCACCTCCGGTCGGCTTGGCGGCTGGGAGCTGGGGCTTGAGGCCGGCGGGCGACTCCTCATCGCCCAGCACCTCGACATGCGCGTCGGGCACGTGGGGGGGCCCCTGGAACCAATGCATGGCTCCAATGCAGGGCAGCCACCAGAACACAAAGCAGATGAACAGCACGATGCCGACGGCCACGGGGGCGTAGTTGAAGGTCAGGCTGGAGATGGGGTACACCTGGGGGGAATGCATGCGGTGTGGTTTGGGGTGCATAAGTTGGGTTCAAGGGGAGCTGCAGCCGGAGGGGCAGCGAGAACGGCACCAAAGGGGTCAGTGTCCGCATGCATGCATGCGTGTGCAAGTGTAAACGCTGGGCACGGGTGTCAGACCCGCCGGTCTGTGGGGTGGAGCTTGCCCTCACCGGCGGCAGGCAGAAGATTACGGCGATAAAGCCGATCCACAGGCAGCTCAGGATGCCGATGGGGACACTGAACCGTCCGAGGTTGAAGGGGCCCGGCGTCCAGCCGCGCTTATTGGCGATGACGAGCTTGAAGAAGATGGGGAGTGCATAGCTTATGTACAGGCCTGGAGCGAGGGGCGGGATGCGGAGAAGCGGGGTGCATCGGGGCAGGAGGTCAGTGGCAGGGAAGGCACCACACAGGTGGGTACCAGATCAGCGAGGAGCGCCGTGCAGAGTCGCCGAACGCTTGGCGCAAGCAGGGCCGTGCAGGCGTGCTCAGGCCCGGCCTGCAGCTGACCGATGGGGCCCTGTTCAAAGGGGGTGAGTAGCAATTGTGCAGGGATGAGGCGTGCTGCAAAAGCGGTCGGCAGGCCCACCGCATCTTCGATCCAATGCCTTCTCACCAATAGTGGCGATGCTGGTGACAGCAGTGAAAGTCTGGACATTATTTAGCATTGGCGTGCCAATGGCGAACGCGGCAACGACCATGCCCCAAACAGCATTGATTGGGACCTGGGACAAGATCGAACAGGAGCCAGCGGTAGTGATCAGTGGTGCTGCGAGTCAAACATGTATGTGCCGTCCTTGAGCAGCGGCGGAAGCGAGCAATGCTGGCTTGGGGCAGCTGAAGGCAGAGTGAGCTGCGGCCGCACGTGCCTGCTGCTCCATCCTGTGTGCTCCATACCGTCCTGCAGCAACACATGGTGATCACCTGGAGTGTGGGGTGGACCTTGACCCAGAGCTTGCTGCCGGGCACTGCGCCGTCGCGGCTGAAGGCGTAGAGCATGCGGCTGTTTGAGCCCACGCTGCTCGC